CGCCTCCTCCTCGCTCAGTTCCTTTTACAGCTCCTTTGTCGTTGTCCTGGATTTCTTATACCTTCGACGTACCGAGGACTTGGAAAAACCCATAGCAGCCTCTTCGACGAACGTGTGGGAACACAGCAAGTAGCAGAAACGTTCCCAATGCAAAAGGAAAAAAAGCGTGACAACTCGTCTACATCCCATCGCTTATTGTGCAGTCAGTATTCACATACTGACTCATTGCAGTTTTCCACGAGAAATATCCTCGAGAATCTCCGCATTTCAGAGGCGGAGGTCATGTTAAAACGCTGTGGATGTTCCTGATAGCCCTTCCCCCTATAAATCTACGTCGGGATCACTCTAACGTCAATGATCCAACACACTACCTGTTTGGCTAATTTCAACCTATGAATCGCTTCGTCTTTGTTTTTCTGTCAACAAGGGCGCGTCTCTTGTCATCGTGTGCCCCATTCGAGCGTTGACAACCAGTCCTATCACCAACTCATTTCGTGCTTTGCGTTATTTTTGCTCTTATGAAGTTCCAATCTCCTTAATTTTAGAATTTATTTCAGATGACAAAATTAGGAGTGCACGGCGAAAGTCCTGAGGAGAAGGAGAAGGAGAAGGAAGCCGGTGAGACCGTTAAGGTCGATCCAAAGGTAGGTGTTACAGATAATTAGCTGAAAATTTGCCGAAAATTGCCAAATCTCTCCTATACGCGTTTTACCAATCTAGGGTAGATGGTGAAGTTCCTGTCGGGAACTTTACCATTTGCTCTCTTCAACAGTGGATCACTTGATTTCTTAATGTGTGTCAATAGTTTCAACTGTTGGGAGGGCTGCATAAAGCAGAAATTTCTTCTCCAAAAAGAAGTGAGTGGCTTCAAGAAATAACATTTTGTTGAATAACAAGCACAAGTCATTTATGAGGCTATGTACAGTAATACCTATTTCAAACAGCCATAAGAAAATTCCCTCTTTATAGAATAGAGAAGTCAGCAGAAAGTCTTGATGTTAGATTGGTACAAGGATCCAATGCTTTTAGTAATTATTAAGATTGCTGTATAAGAAAATACTTTTGCAGAGAGATAGAGAAGAACCTTCTTTGAATTGCTATTCCGAAAGCAGTTCTGCTTTGCTAAACGAGGATATTCCAGAAATTGCTCTAATTTCTTCACGATGTGAATTAATTTGACCAGTTGCTGAGATACTGCAGTTGTAGCGTCGTATTACAAACAAAACTGCTTCTGTTTACATTCTGTAAAAACGGTGGCCGTGCAGAGGCTCGTAAAAATGCACTTCCATCCTTTCGATTGCAAAGATTTCAAGACTATCTTGCACTAATCTACATCTACATAAGCGTTAACTGTATCTAAACCAGGATGCAAAATTCCAAAAACTTAGCTGGACTTTTGAAAGTTTAAGGAAGGGTGGATAACATGTTCCTTCAAATTAACCTTATCCGGAAAAGTCTAGAAATCCTCATTAAGAACATTGACCTCATTGTCCTAACAGAATTTTATTTTAGTCATAAAATTGGCCTTGTAATAACAACCTAACCCAAACTGATCTTAAACTCATTATTTAAGGTTAATGTCGTAAATAACTTTTAGTAG